GTTATTAGATTAAAATGTATTAAGCTCTTAATTTTAGTCAAAAATTTCTCGGAATCTGATTTTCCTAGAAACACTCCCATATATCACTTTTATAAGAGTGATATGTAATAACTACTATAAATATATAATTAATTTAGATTTTAAAAGTTTTGTAATAATAATTAAAAAAAAATTTTTACTTTAAATATTTATAAGTTTAGATTTAATATTAACAAATAATTTTTTTTTTTAGAATCTTTTTTTTATTGTAAAACTTTTAGATTTAGCAAATCTGTATTTTGAATCAGTTAAGTAAAATTATAGTAGAAGTATTATATTCAATAGATAAATTTTATGAATTTTTCTATTCAAAATCTAATTAAAATTTTTTTTTGGATTTAATTAATATAATTCAAATAATAAATTAATTCAATTTGATAGCATTACATTGAATGGTAAAATCAGATGAACTAACTATTCAGTCTGAAGGTTTGTTAGGAATTGAAAATATAATATATTGATATTATAAATAATACATTCCGCAAGGAAATTCACGCACTGATAAAAAATTTTCTGACGAAGGAATAATATAAATGTTCCAGAGGCCAACTCGCCTACCGATTTAACTGGTTAAATTGACAAATATGGATTCAAATTATGAAAATTGAAAATAAGATTAATTTAATATTTACGCTTTTTGAAATTAATCTTCAACTTTATTTCCGTTTGATTCTAATTTTCATTTCTTTACATTGAATGTTAACATTATATTGTGTTAGAGGATCCTTAGTAACAACTTCGAATTTATATTTATGATACAACAGAACAATCATCATTTTGAGTTGAACCATTGCAAAATGTCTGCCTGGGCACATACGCAACCCACCACCAAAGTTCATGAGGGTACCTTTATTATAAGTTTCATCGTTATTGCTACTAGCTAAAAATCTCGAGGGATTGAATTTAGTAGGTTCTTTCCAGTAATTTTGATTCTTATGTAAACTCACAATATTTATCGCCAATTGTGTTGATGATGGAATATTATATTCATCAAATTGATCGGAATGTTCTAAGAAACGCGAAATCGTTGATGTAACTGGCCTGATTCTTAACACTAGGAAAAATACTGCACAGTTAAATAATGATTAATCGGGGTGACTAAAAGATGTAAAAACGGATGATCACCTTCTTTTATTACAGCTTCAACATATACAAGTTTATTCAAATCTTCATAGGTAATCTTAAAATCAGATCGACAATAAAATACCTTTTCAATCTCATCAAGGATACATTGTTCAACATCCGGATTAATCCCAACATTATAAAGAATAAATGCTAAAGTATTTGAGGGCTTAAAAAAAAAAACTTTAACAACATTTCATCTTATAAAATAAATATAAATTTGATATTAATACTTACACCGTCAATTCCTTCACTAAATATCTCAACAATAGTATCACCAACTTCTTCATCAGACATAGGTTTCTTATTGTTCTCATTAGAAATACTTTGAGAAATATCTTTTTGCGTATTAGCGGTCAATAACATATTTAACATATCAGGTGTTAAATTCTTTTTATCGTCAATGTTCTCAATTTCTTTTCTACGTTCTTTGACCAAATTGTATGCATAATTTCTCGTCCACATCAAATTCTCGTATAAATAATTTGAATAGGTATTTATAATTGGAAGGTTACGTATAAATGGAGGAATTGTTAAATAATATTGCACACAATCAGTTGCAATGAACAAACGATCCAAAAATTCTTCATTTATGCTTTGAATATTATCAAGATCTCTATTTGTGATCCTATTATAGTAAGCTGATAATACGTTAGGGTGAAGTCTGGCTGTCTGTAACATTGTAGTTTCCGCGAAAATTCTTTTTGACCAAGATACAAAATCAATTTCTACAGATTTTTCTTGTTCATTATTCACAAATTGACCTTTCTCTTCAATCAAATTGTTCCATAGCTTTTCCAAATCCTGAAAGATGTTATCAACCATTTTTACGGCAAATCTTAAGGCATTGGGTGATCCTGCGACTCTAGTAAAGATTTTCCTAACATAGGACCAAGAATTGAAATCCGCATTAAATAAAATTCCGATATTGACCTTTTGTAAATCATCTAAACCTTTTGTAACACGCACAAAGTAATTACCATCCTTTGTTGGAGTCATTATACGTTCAACTACTCGTGAATTACTAATCATCAAATGTTTATTAGACCCAAAGTACAACTCAAATACATCCCCATATTTCAAATTCAATAGGTGAAACCAGGATGGAATGTCATTCCTGTTATAAAAGTATTGATGTAAGTTACCTACTATAGGTAACGGTAGTGGCCCCGGATATGGGAAAGAACGGGTGAAATAATCATAATAAAATTTTAGAATATACAATAAAATAATAGTATTTAGGAGGATTAAAAGTTCTAAAATTGTTAGATTGAATTTTTTGAAAAGTACCATTTCATAAAAATGAGTTTTTATTTTGAAGATGATGGAAGATACTGATTGTCTTATAGTGAAAGAAGTTACACAGATGTTAGTTCACGTATTACATATTGATCAGCGTGATCGACATATTCTTTGACACCTATGATATATAATACCCCCTACAAGAATCGGATTTACATATAAAATGGCTCTAATATATTCAATAAAATCTTAATAAATCAATTATAATATAAGAAAATTTAGAACGCTATTTGCTGAGCAATAATTATAAATCTAAAGATTTGGAGTGAGAACGTCTATATTTTCAACAGGTGTATTCAAATACTCATTTAGCATATTATGGCGAACCGACAAATTCGTTTAAATTGTCATCACAAGCTTGATATTATCTGTGCTCTAAAACTTGTTTTCGTAATTAGGGGTATAATTGATTATGCTTATTTGTCACATACCATGACGTGACAAATTAACATCATCTTCCAAAAGTCTCCGTCTCTAGGATTCAAAAAAGAGCGATTCGGAGTCGGTTCTGGAATTAGCTCCGGACTGGCTCAGAAACATCCCTACTCCTATCATCTTCAGATACTTGATACAAATTGAAAAATCTCCAGTGTCACGTAGGTGGTGACAAAAACACCTAACCTTAATCCTAAACCTGATACGTTTTAGATCTAATTTATCAGAAAGAACTAGGGTAAATTAGTAAATCCCCCTTAAATTTAAAAATTTAGTTATGGAACGTATAATTCTAATATTTTTCTGCAATACATAAAGCGATATAATTTATAGTTTATCTAGCCACTTAGATAGGAAGATCATGACAATCGATTCCAATATCACGCTATTTCGTATTGCTACAAAACACATAAAAGGAAGGTAAGTTTTACTGTATCCGCTTCATACACCTATTATTATAACTTCAGATAAGTTGAGTCACATGATCAAAATATCGACTCTTCTGAAGGGTGGGAAATTTCGTGTAACGGGAGTATGTTACAAAGGTTATCTCTAAAAAGTCTAAAAAGGACTAAAATTCTTTTTATCGAAATAAAAACAGCTTTTATCAGAGACCTTTTTAAAAATCGGTGCATTTCATTCATTTCCTTTGCAAGCTACTTTTGTCAATGAAAAATAAATCAGTATTTATGATTGCATGTGTCAACTCATCAAAAGTCTCGAACTTTCTGAAAAAAAGATTGGATCGACAACCAACACACTTATAAATAGTAGTAAGATCAACAAAATCCTTAAAAAAAACTGGCGCCACACATTCATTCTTTACAAACTACACAGGCATTAATACAATTTAAGATGACTTTAAGCGAAAGTAGTAACAATGATACGGAAACTTTAGAAGAGACCACAATTACAACAGTTCAACCTTCTTCCCCTACCCCCTCAAACTCCTCTTCTACAAGTACCACCAAAAAAGAAAATGAGGGTACAAATGGAAGTTCAAGTTCTTCAAATAGTAGTAACGTTGGAGGAGGAAAATCAACAAAGAATGTACCTAGTTCTACACCTGCAATAAATATTTTTTCAAATGATGGAAGTTTTTTGGATAGATTCAAAAAAATGAAGGCCGAAGAGGATGAAAAAAAGAAACAACTTGAGGCTTTAGAAAGGTGAGAAGTTAAAATACAAGAAATATTTCATAGTCAAGGGTGAATTAATCGAGTTGAATGTGTAAAATCATCCCTTGGAAATCGAATGAATTGTAGGAAGACTAATTAAAGTTGCTATTGGCTAGTTCATGCTTCTAGTTTAACTTTTATTCTGTCTTCTTACCATTCGATTTTTGGTGAGTGACTGATACTACGCTTTGTTGTTAGAACGGTGTTGCAATATAATAATCCGTACGTTCAAGAGGATGTTATTTTGGAAAAAAAAAAAAAAAAAAAAAAAGATTATAATCGATACAAAAAGGATTCTTTTTAATGTCGGAAGACGTGAACGGAAATTATTTTCTTTTTTATACTTTTTTTTTTTTGGTTAGCATTTTTAATTTTTTTTTTAAACACGACTTTTTTACTTACACAATTATATTTTTGAAAAAAAAAATATTAAAAACAAAAAAAAAAAAAAAAAAAAAAATTTGAAAAATAAATATTTTATACCGCTTTTATGGTGTATTTTTTTTTTTTTTTCCTTTCGTGCTTTCTCGCTTTCTCTATTATTCTTTGGGGGTTATTATTTGTATGTATTTGAAATTTCATTCGAATATTACAGAAAGAAAGCTTTTGAGGATCGTATTGTAAGTATTTTCAAATTATTTATCACTTTTTTTTCGTGTGTTTTAATAATCCATGACACCTAAAAATGTTTCAAAATAGAAAAACCGCGGAAAACGTAAGAATCAACCTACGGATGAAGAGTCGGATTCTAAACGTGTTAGTCTAGAAGACAATGATCGTGAAGAAGTACTAGATCCAAAGGCTAATGCATATTTAAAGGAGATGCAAAAATATAATGAAAGATTGTGTAAAGATGACGCAGGTCATGTTCGTCCGTTGGTAAAATAATATTTATTATTGGGAAAAGGAAAAAAAAAAAAACTTGAAAGAATGGAAACTACGACATAATGTAATTTAAAAAATATATATATATTTATTTTTTTGAGAGGGAGATTCGATCATATAATTAGGAGTAAATATACACATTATATATATATTTTTGTATCAACGATTGGCTTATCTCTAAGGATCATTTAGTATATTTATATAAAGACTCTTCTTAATATCTTTATTTTTACATTTTATTTTTTTATTTATTAAAAATCTTTCACTATAATTATTATTACAAGTTAATACTATTAATACAATTTCTAGATAAATCATAAATTATTTAACCCTTAAAACGATTAATTTATTTATTACTTTCTTCAGAAACAGGAGTCTGAGGAACAAGGTAAAAGGGTAAAGCAGGTTGCAATTTACCAGCCTTTTCACAAGCGACCAACCAATCAGGTTTAACGATAGGGATTGAACCATCTAAAGCCTTTTGATATTCAGAACCACCTTGAATATTACATAATAAGTGAGTAGTATTAGGACCAATTTGTTCACTATAACTAGCTCCGATCCTTTCCAAAATTTCAATTAACTCTTGTTTGGTATATGAAGGATTTTCACCATCTTGTTCTTCATCATCATTACTTAAGATACCAAAGCAGACGTTAATACCGGTTAAATTTTCAAGAGTATGAGTTTTAATTTGAATCTTATTAGAAGTTAAAGTTCCAGCCGTAGTTTTAATAGTGATATAAAATTCGTAATCATGATCTAATTCTAACCCACTTAATTTAATATAATTACTACCTAATGGAGCGTGTTGAACATGTTGACCATTATCATTGTGATTACGATAAATATCTAAACCTTTTAATTTTGCTTGATGTAAAACTAATGGTTCCCATTCAAGTAAAACTGATGTTTGAGTGACATGCTTGATATGAAGAACTGGTGGTTCTGGTTCATTTCGTCCAAATTCCTCAAGGATCGCTTCTTGCAACTCCCAGAATTCTTTTTTTTTTGCTTCCTCTTGTTCATTATTACGATTTACTCCTATATTTACTATGCTACCAGAGGTTACTCCTGGAGGAAGCAATAATGATGGAAATTCTATCAAATGGTGATCTTCTGTTAACAAGATGGCCTGAAAACGAAAGAAAGGTTACTTAAAAAGTATTTAAAGTTTGAAAAAGGTAAATGATCCTATGAGAAATGTTCTTTTTTTTTTTTTATTAATTACCATTCCGGCATCGAGTTTCCCGACCGTAAATTGAACAGAAGTTGAGGTAGACATTGAAATAATCGAATTCGTTACAATACAGAAGAAAAAAAAAAACCTATCGGTTGTAGATCCTCACAATCCTTATATTACAAAACTCCACGTGTTTAACAAGTTACACAAAACGTCTGAATACATGGATAAAACCCCCAATTTTTTTTTTTATAAATAAAATTTGACCTACACTTTTTGTTATAATAATAATGGTGTGTTTTTATTACTTTTTGGTGTCGACATTGCGAATTGAATCGCGAAACGTTTTCAAAAATTTTTTTTTTCGGTTAACAATCCTTTTTTTTTTTTTGTTTGTTTTTTTTTCTCAAATAATAGCTGTTTTATTCATTTTTTAAGACACTTATTGGTCACCAAGTGACAGTAGAATTGAAAAATGATTTGGCAATTACAGGTATCCTCTCGTCAGTAGATCAATTCTTAAATATTAAACTTGATGATATTCGAGTGGTGGATGATACAAAATACCCTCATATGGTATTTATAATTGATTTTTTATTAAGAACAAAATTACAAAACTTCGAGTAATTTGAGTTTGATAAAGTTCTTTCTGATTTACAATAGATGGCGGTCAAGAATTGTTTTATACGTGGATCAGTTGTAAGATACGTACAACTACCCGCTAGTGCAGTAGATACGGCTTTATTACAAGATGCTGCTAGAAGAGAAGCACAAACACCAACAACAGCGGCTGCTCACACAATGAACCGTTAATTCTATTTTTACGAAGAAAAAATTATTATTTTTTTTTTTTTTGAAGGGGGGACGATGATAGATGATAGATGATGATATATTATATTAATTAAATCTTTTTTGTGAGAGATAGAAAAAGTCTATGAATTACTAGTATTATTTTAATTGAAGTAATGTTTTATCATGTATTGTCCCTTCCTATCACACATCATTCCGTACCATTTCAGTCATTTCAATTTCCTCTTTACTCCAAAATCCCCAAAAAGTATAAATCAAGAAAAATATCCCCACAATGCAAAGAATTAAATAGCACATATATTGTTTATGTCTGGCTGATGTCATGTGTTTAAGTTTTCCTACAGTTCCACCCAATCCTCCTTTAACTGATGTAAACGTATCTCCCTTTATTAATTAGAGCAGAGAGAGAGAGAAGAGAGATAAGGTTAACTCATTTTCATACATATTTTTTTTTTTTTCTTTTTTTTTGAGAAAATTTAAATTAATTACAAACCGTATCATCAAGTAAATTAACTTGATCCTTAACGTCATCATGAATATCAAGTGTAATCTAGATATTTTAAAATTATTTATTAATAACGAGAAAAAAACACTAATAAATAAATAAATAATTTTACCTTATGTAAAGTGGTTAATTTTGAACTTAATTCTTGCAATCTTAAATCATTTTGTTGTTCAAATACTTTTGAAGCACTTATACTGGGATCATGTCTTATTTTTCTTCCTGATGGTGGAGAGTCACTATCATTACTACTACCTGAAAGTAAATTTGCTCGATCTGAAGATCTGGTTGTATTATTTGTCCAATAACTGGTACTCATCTTGTAAATAAAAAGTGGTTATTAAAGAGAGTAAAATAAATAAATAAATAGATATAAATAAAAAAAATAAATTATATTGATAAGTGAAAATGATATTATCCGACAATTCAAATGTTCAACAAATATATAAAGCGTATCTCATCCACGTGATCTACCGTTTTTATTCGCTTGATTTGGATTCTTGTACGCAATGAATTTAACTTTTTATGTTGAGAGAAAATCTAGTTTTTTTTTGTTGCACGAGACTAAGGTCACCGCATGTGACTTTACATGAAATTCGGGTAAAATCGACGAATTTTTAAATTTTCAATCCTTCAAAAAAGAACGATTTATAGGAAAATGACGGATAAGGATCAGCAACAACTTCAGAATCTTGTATTCTCAGCAGAGTTAAACGTTGAAAATGAGAACCTTGAACAACTTGGTCCTATTATAAAAACTATTTATGATACTGGTAGACAAGAAGCTTTCCTTGAACAATTGGCAATTTTTGTTAGAAGAAAAGACAGCGAAATAGAGAGAATGTGTAATAGTAATTATCAGGTATGATTCACTGAAAAACGATGCGTGCTCGTTACCTTTATAAACAAATTTTTACTTAATGATAGGAATTTATACAATCGGTGGATCAATTATTAAAAGTCAGACAAGGAACCGTTAATTTAAAGAATAAAATCATTGATTTAAATTACGATGTACAAAATTCCGGGAAAAAAGTCGCATCAAAGGTAAGCCATTGATTTATATCAATTCAAATTTTAATTAATATTAAATTTTTTTTTTTTTTGTTGTTTTAGAAAAAGGAACTTATACAGACGCGAAGAATTCAAAAAAACATTGATGATGCCGTCGACACTTTACAATCATGCTTACATGTACTTGACATGGCAAATCGTGTAAATTATTTAGTAGAAGAAAGAAAATATTATTCGGCTTTAAGGGTGGATATAATTTGACATATATTTCTTTAAAACTTTGCTAAACAAAGGCATCTGGTTAATGTGTCATTCCTTTGTAGACATTGGAAGAATTGCAGACCATTCATTTGCGGAAAGTCATACAATATGATTTTGCCAAGCATATGCGTATGTTATTATTATACCTTTTATTTCAATTATATTTTGATGATGACTAAATCTCTTTAAATATGATCAGAGGAATCTATTCCTGTTATGCAAAATAATGTAAAAGATGCTGTGACAAAAGAAATGAAAGAATGGTTGTTCAAGTACATAAATCATTTAAATTTTTTTTTTTATGTCAATTCTCTTTAAATTTTAAATTAAAAATACTAAGCAAATTTTGTTATTAAAATTAGAGTTCGTCAAGTATCCAGGCAAGTTGGTAGAATTGCTATGGAACAAATGAAATTACGTCAAGAACGTTGGAAGTTAAAAGTTGATCAAAATCCTGATTTACGTTCAGTTCCAGTTAGTTCGCCAATAGAGATGGTGATGAACGAAGAAAATGAATGTATGTTAAATTATTTACAATTCTCACATCAGACAAATTTGTTTGTTTCACAAACTTAAGCTAGTTCCAAATTTTTATATGATGTAGTCAATATTGTTAGTAACGATCAAGTACATATTGATTTCAAACCATTATATCAATGTTTACATATTTATGAGGAACTTGGAAAACGAAGTGAATTTAAAACAAATTATGAAGAGGATAGAAGGGTAATTAAATTCCTTATTTTTTATGATATACATGTATTCACTTATTTATTTATTTACTTATTTTTTTGTTTAAAAAAAATAGGCCCAGTCAAATTTGGTCTTGTCACAATCATTCACATTGAGGGAAGGCAATGAAAAGGGATTTGAAGCTTTCCTTCATGATATTGTAGGATTCTTTGTAATCGAGCATGTGATTGTACATTCTACACAAAATTTTCGATCTCAAACGGAAGTTGATAATTTATGGGATTCAGTGATTGCCAAAGTTGTTAAGATTGTTAGCGAAAGTCTTGATGGATGTCATGATCCAAATTTATTCATACAAATTAAATTTTCTTTATTTACTTTTATCCAAACCTTGGAGGTATTGTTATACTTCAAATCATTTTGTTTCTATGCATCGTTATTTATAATTGAAATATATATATTAATTTTATTTACATACATACATCTGATAGGATTATGGGTATAATGTTGATGCATTTACAGATTTGATCTTAACAGTATTTCAAAGATATTCTGATATGTTAAAACAAAGGTTTTTGGAAGAATTCCTCCAGGTAAAATTCATCCTAAATAAAATATCCTTAGGAATAATTATGAACTCTTTTAAGAAATTAATATATTGTAGACACTTCTATATGATGATTATATGCCAATGCCTATTAATAATCCAGAAGAGTATGGGGCAGTTGTTGACGCTTGTTGGTTTAAAGAAGATCATCGCATTAGTCAGGGGTAAGTTGAAATATTACAATGTGAAATCATTTAAACAATGTATTCCTAAAAATTTATCGTTTACGTGTTAATATTTTATAGATATCCAAGAACCCTTCCCTTTTCACAAGCATATCCTTCTTGTTGCTTGGACATTAAGAAATTTGTGGACCAATATTATACATTTGCAGAAGGCGATTCTCGACAATATAGTACAGTAGATGATATCGCGAAACAGGTTGGAACAATGTAATGTAATTTAGGAGATTCACGAATGTGCAATTATCCATTAATGATCAATTTATATAAAGACATTAGATAATTTGTTAATAGAACATGTTAATGGTGTTCTAACGAGTAAATTGGAAAGTCAAAATATGTCACAGATTGTGCAAATTATAATTAATCTTGAATATTTTCATGATGCCTGTGGAGAATTGGAAAAATTATTGAAAGCAAAAAGGTATGATATAATTTATTTTGATTGAATGTGTTTTCGTTCAAACAGTTAACAATTAGATGTATGCATATATTTTTAGGTCGTCTCATCGTGGGGGTGTGATTAAATTGAGAGCTGCTGAAGAATTTCGCGAGACCAGTAAAAAGGCAGAGAAACGTATCTTTGAACTTGTTAATTCAAAAATCGATGATTTCTTAGAATTAGCAGATTACGACTGGTAAGCCCCTTACTTTCATATTTGAATTTTATCGTCAATAATTTACAAATTTATTTTAACAAAAATTAGGATTCCGGATTCTATCCAAGTTCATCCTAGTTTTTTCCTTCACGGTTTGTTTTTTCATTATTAGTATTAAAATTATTTAAGCAATTAAACATATCTTTACAAATGTTATTATTTTACATTAGACATGGTAAATTACCTCACGGCTGTTATTAGTTCAACATTATATAATCTTCCGATGTCAATCAAGATTTTTATTTACTTTAATGCGTTAAGTCATTTGGCCTCTTGTTTATGCGTAAGAACTTTGTAATAGGTCTTTTATCTATCAAATGTTGTTATGAATTTTTATGTTTTCTAAAATTATGTTAATAACGTATAGGAACTGATTTTAAGCCCCGACATCAAAAGAATTAATGCAAATGGTGTTGCAAATTTTGAAGTTGATGTCACGTTTCTTGAAAATTTTGCACGGAAACTAGAAGATCCTAATATCGCTGATGCATTTTTAGAATTGAGACAGGTATTGTGATACTTTGCTTTTTATTAGACGTTAAATGGTTTTTACATTCAAGTCGAAATTTAGTAATTAATCAAATTATTTAATATATTTTTTAAAAAAAAGATCGTTACTCTTTTACAATCCGAAAATGTTGAAGAATATTTGGTTCCTTCTACAAGAAATAGAAAATACTCATTACTTAAGCCTGTGGATGTTGTTAATCTATTTGACAAGTAAATATACTCTTAAGAATTTATGCCCCCTTTTTTTTTCGAATATTATAATAACTTTATTATTAAAATAGATGGCTAAAGGATCAATCGATTTTAACTATGCAACCTGAAGAGAGAAATAAAAAACGAGCAATGGAGAGTGTTGTGAGATCTCTGAGAAGTTCGATGTAATGAAATATATATATATATATAAGAGCCCAAATATTTATTAATTACACTTTTTTTTTTTATTTTTTTTTTTGATAATTAATAAGCATTAATTAATTTTTAATAATTATTAATAGAATACATTTTTTAGAAAATATTTAGACTAATATTTATCATTTTTTCGAATAAAGATAAATTTTTTAAACGTTTATTAGAACGAATTCCAAATCGTTTTCATGAATTATGCAAAAAAAAAGTTAACCAAGTCAAGTGTTTGAAATTCAAACTTCAAATCATGTGCGGAATGCGCGCAAGCTTTTAAATGATGTGCAGAAGTTATTTTTTTTATGCACATTCCATTTCCTAGTAATAGATAAATTGCAAAATAACATTTGTAAAAACCTTTATTATATTATAATTCTATTATAAAACAATCAAATAAAACGCCATTAACATATTATAAATAAAAAATTCAACGTTTAATTCTTCTCACATTCATTCTTCCATTGATTGAACGCTTTGTTCCAGTAAATTTTATCAGATGCATTCAAAAGTAGTATTAAATGCATGTCTATAGAGTGAGAGAGAGACGATAGAGTCTCCAAATTCATCCTATTACGTAATCTAGTTTTTGTTAATTTGTGCTTGGAAAAAACTCTTTCTACACTTGCATTTAAAATTGGTACTAATAAGACTACATTAATCAAAATATTAATATTAGGAAATATATTTTTAAATTGGAGAAGAGTATTCCAAATATGATGCCACCAGTGAAATAAATACACTGCATTTGGCGTATAATAATACCTTTTTCTTTGTCATATTGTTTCGCGAACCCAGTTACAATATTATTCTGATCACTCTGACTCTCTTTCTCGGCCATTGAATGATCCTTTTAATTTTAAATGACGTTCAAGTGAATCTTTTTTGTAAGTTGCAGTTCCTTTTGCCATTTTGTTTGTAAATTTTGCACTCTCACACCAGGTACAAAACATGAGGACAGTATCATCAACAACTCGATATTCCAGCCACTCATACATTGATAGCCATTTCAGATTTGGAGTAGCTGCGGGTAAGTTAACTTGATTTTTTTTCCTTTACCCGCTACATCACTAACTTGTTTGACAACACTTGCATTATCCTCAAATAATGATTCTTACCTGTGAGATAATAACTGCATGTTATTATCTGTTGCTGATTTTAGAGCTTTCCCAGTATCACCAACAATTTTTCCACCCCATATTTGTCACCGGCGTCACACCTTCGCGTTTCCATTTTTCATAAGTATTCCGGAAACTTGGAATTTTTTAAGTGGTGAAATTTTTTTCACGCCTCTTATATGTCGCCGGTGTGGTGTGAAATTTTACTTATCCCTTCGTCTGTAGACTTTCACATGCTACTATGTTTATGTAGGCAAATTTGCCTGCGTTACAAACGAAGGGATAAATTGTTGGTGATACTGATTTTGGAGGCTGATCATTTCTTGGGGAAATATTGCTATCAAAAATATCTGCATTATTATCCTTATTTACGTCCAGATTTGGACCTGTAATCATCAATATGGTTAAATATTATTGATAAATGTTTAGAAACGATGGTAATAAATAAATGACATACTTTTAGACGTCTGTATCATTATTCAAATCTAACTCAGGTTCATCTAGTGAAGCATTGTCGCAATATTCATTGATATGTTCAGCAAATTCGGCACTTTTCACATTTATCTTTTCATCAAGTTCTAAAAGAATCTTGTTCAGGTGTTCCTTTTCATCTTGTATTTTGAAAGGTCCCTTCTCTAAAAATAATATTAGTGTTATTGAACCTATGATTTAACTCTAAATCATAAGTTTACTTAACAAATCGCACTCTTTGATAATATTTACTCAGTATGTTTTCAAGATATTGTGACGTTGTTGGAGTACATCAGATTTTTTATTTAGTAATAAAGGAAGGAACATATCCGATTTCTCCTCCGAAATCAGCAGACCTTTACCAACAACAAAGTTAGGGTGCCTGAATAGAGGTCCCTGTAGTGGTTACCAGGTGTTCTACCGAGTAATTCTCCTGAGTCAATGCGTATGTTGCGGTTCGACTAGGAGTTACCCTCCCTTTGCAAAACAAAAAAAAATAAAAATAAAAACGCACCTTTGCACTTAAATCCTGCTCCTACTTTCTTGCTTCTCTTAAAAAACTTGTGGCTCAAGCATTGTCAAGGTCCAGCAAATTTGAAGAGGATGTTGTTGATGACATTAAACATTTTACAATACTTTGTCTATAAAGTAATAGAAAGCCACGATATGATCCATTTTACGATCCTTTATATAGGAAATAAGGTCAGCCATAGCTACAGCAGACCCAGCTTGTTGCGAAAATTTTAGCTCACACTGTTCAGACATGGTTTCGTGACAAGAAAAGAAAAGGCTTTTTTTGAGATATAGATTTGTTTCTAAAAATTATAGCTTGAGAAAAGTTTTGAGAAGTTTAATAAGGGTATATATACTATATGTAAAGAGCTGACGTCATGATTCGCGTATAAGAAAATTACGCCAGCGTTGTTATTAACTAAATTTATTAATTTTATGGAAACACGATTTTTTTTTTTAAGTAATTCATTTAGATAAAGGCCAAGCTATAATCTCATTAGAATAAATTTTTTTTTAAAAAAATGATCATGTTTGTTTAGAAGAAACAATAGGAACAGGGACCCGTAAAAATTTCGAAAAAATAAATCGATTAAATAGATATTTCACGTAAAAAGAATATATTATTGGCCTAAATAAACCCAATCGAAAAAAATATAATTGTCAAGTCGAATTGCTTTTTTGGTTACCACTTTCTTCATATAGTGTATTTTAAGAATTTTTACGGGTCCTTGAATAGGAATCACCTTTTTAACTTTTTGCGGCATAACATAAGAGACTTGAATTAATGATAAAATAAATAATCTCATCTCATCTTAAAATTAAGATAATTTTAAAGTTTAATGAAAAATTTAACCCTTAATCTACAATGGATGCGATACAGTCACTAAGAAATTTTCTTAATTAGAATCATGAAAAAACCATACGCAATTGATTGGAATCATTACATTCCATACATACCATACATGATTTAATAATACCAATAAAACCTAAATATAATTTCCCTACTCACATTTTTACACCATGAACCAGAATTTATGTCGTGAAATGGACTATTTCACATGACCTTAACGGCAATGCAAAATACTAACAACAAATCTGCTGATTATCAAAATTTAAGAAATAAAAAGTACTATTTTTTACACATGTTAATATTCATTCATATTAATAAATTCATTGTTGATACCAAAATTTTTTGAGACACTAATTTTTTTCCTCAGATCTCATCTAACACTTCTTTCCGCCTTTACCAATGGCGTCTGGTAAACCTTTTAGGAGTATGCAAGGTCTCCTTTTCCTTTCCAAGCCCATTGACTTTTCCGATTGTCTCCCAATCAACATTTTCAATATTATTAAAGAGAAGTTTCTTTTCCTTTCTTCTTTCCCTCTGGTGACTCTTTTTCCCAAGAAACACTATTTTGCGATTTGGGACATTCCTTCCAGAGATGACCTACTCCATTATAAACCTCACAAAACTTGTTCTATTCAGAATGATTGAAGGAGTTGTTCTCCTCCAAAGTACTAAAATCATTCTTTTTTAAATCCAAAATCAAGTTCACTTCAGGAATACTAACAGTATGATTTTCATCAAATTCATAACATTCCCATACGCCATGGCCTTCGTTTTCACAATATTCACATAAATTGGGTTTCTCTTAAAGAGAAGATTTTTAGAAGTACAAATCAGACCAATAATCATCATCTTCATCATCTTCATCTTTGTAGCAAGAACAATTTTTTATATAATGACCGCTTTCTTCGCAATAATCATAAAAATCGACTTCCTCATTGTCCTCTTCATTGTTGAAGTAATTAAAACATTCTTCTGTATAATGATTCCCTTCCTCAAAATAATCATATAATTCTGACCGATAACTGTCTTCTTTGTCAACAAATTGCATTTCACTAATATGAAGAAAATTGAAAATTCTTTGAAATTCTTCATCTTCTATTAAAACGGTTAAAACAAGATTTTTGTTTCTAAAATCTATAAAGTTTGCTATGAATGCAAGACATTTTTTTTTGACAAATGAACCAATTTTAGAGCCTAGACCTGTACATACACCTTTTGGTCTACAGGACAAGGAATATGTAGGAACAAACCTTTTATTTATGGTATGACATTAACTAGTGTAGGTATATTTATTATAGTCAAAGAAATAAATTACATAGATAGGTTCTTTTTTTTATGCCTATGCCAAATATGCAAATTTGCCCAAATTATTAAATTATTAAATGTTTAGATAATTATAAGGGAAATTAATCAAAATAAATATGACGATCTTGTTTTAGAGTTAAAAATAAATTCCTTATCAGATCCACCTTTTTACTTAAAATGAAAATCATCACAATGTCAGAAGAAAATATATTGTATTTCGCTTTCTTATAAAAATTGATGAAATCGCCCATATATAATAATTGTGTGACCACCCTTTTACTTTCCTAATACAGTAGTGGTCATAAGTATTTGACCGTTCGAGATTATTCAAAATTATTATATAACTACTCCTTAAATTTTCTAGAAATATAATGTAGCACAATACATAATCACCTGAAAATTTATAAGTATTAATGATACAAAAAAAATTTAGATGATCATCAAACTTTCACTTGAAAAATGAAACTTTCTTTAAAGAAACAATATGAAATTGTCTTTTTACGTGAACACTCAGCTGGTCCAAAGTTTAGTTTTAGATTTACCGTATTTTACTGAAAATAAGCACACCTTTTTATTATAGAGATGCTTATTTTTGAATAATTTACGTGATTTATATAAAGCTGTGCCAAATCTTATTTGATGATCATTATATCATTTCAGTTAATGAAATGCGAAACCTGTTTTAAACCTGTTAAAAAAATGCTACAAAAATATAAAAGAGTTATTAGAAAGGTTATATAAACTTCATATTCTATTAAAAAGAAAATGAAGTTGTTAATTATGCAGAACAATATGATAGACGTGCAGTAGCAAACCACTTTAATCTTAATATTAGTATAGTCAGACATTAGGTTAAAGTAAGCAAGACCTGAACAACTAAAACAAATAGCAAAAAAAAGAAAATTAGTTCTGGTCGAAAGGCTTTATATCCTGAAGCTAAAAACTTTTATATGATTGGATTATTGGACAACGGAAGTAAGGATTGGCTGTAAATTACTTAATGATACAAAATAAAATGAAGGAAATTTTAAGTGAATCAATCATTTATAATTCAATAAATAATTTTAAAATGTCATTTAGCTGGTTATGTAAATTTTTGAAAAGGCATGAGCTGGTACTACGTCAACATATAAAAATATCTCAGAAACTCCCAGAATATATTATAGAATTGCTAGAGAGTTTTAATAGATTTGTTACCCAACTTAGAATAGAAAAGTCTTTTGAAATGTATGATATTTATAATATAAATAAAACACCTGTTTAGTTCAATATAGTAGGTAATTTTACAGTTAATCAAAGAGGTAAAAAAATGGTACATGTTTATGGAACTAAAAATGAAAAAAATTGATTTACAGTTGTTCTTATATGCGCTGCTGGTAAGTTTTTAAAATTTTATCTATATTTATATATTTTAGTAGTTTCTGCAAATTTTGTAGTTTTTAATCTTACTAAATTTGAATCTACTTAATAAGATGGGACAAAATTACCTCCTATTTACATATTTAAAGAAAAGAGATTGGCACGCAATGAAAAAGAAAAAATTTCTTCTGGTGTAATAGTTTGATTTTAGAAGAATAGATGAATAAATGTTAACTTGATGAAAGATTATATTGATTACTTTAATAATAATAGATTTAGAATCCAACAATGCTAGTATATGACTCATTCAAAGGTCATCTGAAAGAATCAGTCAAAAATAAGTTTCACAAAAATAATGTTTATTTAGCGGTGATTCCTGGCAGATTAACAAGTATCTGCCAGCCTCTCAATATTACAATCAACAAGTTATTTAATGGTAACCTTCAAAAAGTGTGGCATCTATAGATGGCAAGTGGTGATGCTAGAAATACTGCTAATAGAAACCTTTAGCGTGTTAAAATAAGTAATGTATGTGATTAAGTTAAGTGATTATGTGAGAAAATTTCTGATGAAATTATTATTAAACAAATTTACCAGTAAATTCTAATGTAGATTAGGAGAAATCAAAAATTGAGACTGATAGATCAGAATCGATAAAAAAACAAAATTAGAAATTGATATAATAAAGTCAGAGGTTGAGGAATTGGTAACAAGTGAAACTGATGACAAAAGTTTTTAACAATAATACATTTAATAAGCTATAATAGCTTATTTTTTGTAAAATTATTTCACATTTATAATATGTCTGGTTAAATTTTTACAATAAAATTTACAAATATGCTTATTTTTGAGTCTTAGATAAATATGTTTATGCTTATTTTCAGGATGTGCTTATTTTCGGTAAAATATGGTATTGCTAAACAGGTATGTTATAGTAAATCTATAATTATTTATTGGGTTAAAAGATATCATAAAAATCAGAACTTAAGTACTTCAGAAAGACTGGATAGCCTTGTATAATATTCGCAAAATAAGATGACATAATTGTAAAGATGACAGAGAAAGATTATAATATAATAGCCATTTAAATACAAGAAAAAATGAAAGAAAGAGGTATTAGACTTAATGTAGAACAGTAATGCGACGTCTTCGTAAGTCTAGAAGAAAGTTTAGTAATAAAATTTCTAAACTTTTGCTTAGAGAAGACCATTAAAAGAAAAGGTTGCAATAGGCAAAAAAATATAAGAATTTTGATTAGAATCAAATTGTTTTTACAAATGAGAATACATTTCAATTATATAAATCAAAAAAAGGTTTGGCAATTTCCTGGTAGAAAAAAAGTGTTTCGTTCTGTTAAACATCTACTAAAAGTTCATGTTTAGAGATGTTTTTCTGCTTTTAAATTTGGTAAGCTATTTTGCTTTCAGAGGAACCTTAATGCTGAATTTATGTATACTAATTATAAGCAGGGTCTTCTGGTTTTCACCTCTAAACTTTTTGGTAAAGGTAATATAGATTGGATCTTGCAAGAAGATAATGATCTAAAGCATCAATTAAAAATCGCGAAAAAATGAAAGAAGAAAATGGCATTAAGGTACTTTCTTAGTCATTAATGTCTTCAAACTAAAACCCTATAGAAAATTTTTAGAGGTTAATGAAAATTAATATACAAAAAAAAATTTGATCAATTAGAAGGTTAAAGGAGGAACTTACAAAAGAATAAACTGATTATCACCTGTACTTATCACAAATTTAATAGCTAGTATGAAAAGGCGTACAACTGCACTTATAAAGTCAGATGATGACTACACAATGTATTAATTTTAGTTAGTTAGTTATGTATTTTTTAAATAAAAAAAAATTTGAATTTAATTACTTGTAACCAGAGTTAGAGGTGATCAGATACTTATGACTACTATTATAGTTTATATAACTCTTTAAATAAGTTATTATTTTTTAAAAAAGTATAATTTAAACTTAAATATTTTAGGATAGAATGAATTTGTTATCACAATTCATTTATGCATGCAAATAGAAATAGAAAAAAAATAATATCCATATTAATTAATAAAAAAGAGAGATTAAAAATATATATTAAGACTAAATAGATTACTGTTCTAAATATATAATATTAATTTACAACTTAAAAGTTATTTTATTAAAATAAGTAAATATTTTTTAATATTAAATTTAAATAATTTTTTAATAATTTTAATATTTAATTTTAAAATAAATTTATGAAAAACATTATAATAAAATAATAAGTGAAGCTGTAAAATCAATTATTAATAAGAGAGATTTTTTTATTAATGTTGAAGTATTTATTAATCTATTACTTTTAATCAAATAAGTAATATTATTTTTAAAATTCTGATGATGTTTTCGAAGTTATATTTTTTATCAATAAGATAAAATTTAGAATTCTATAACCATTTTAATATATTATACTAAGCTATACCTTTAACAACTATGTAGCCTTACTGATATAATACTCTAAAAGTAGCTAAGTATGCTATAATACATAATCATCTATATAACTGATTTCTCTTCACTTCTGCCCAAGTAGTAGCAGAATAAATGTTATACCTATTTTCTATATAAAATTGGTTACTTATATAATTAGATTCTATTAGTTTTCCATTAATAAAATAATATGTTTTATCACAAGAAACAATATCTAAAAACTTTTATTATTAGGAGTACCATCATTTCTCACTACCTTCTAAACCTGTTTTTGCTAAAGATTTAGATCTTTTCTTATAATTCCTATAAGCAGGGTTGGGAAATTAGTACAGTTAGTACAGCTTAGTACAGTTTAGTACAATTAGTACACATAATAATTAATATAAAATTTAGTACAGTACAGTACAAGTACAAGGTCAAAATATACCTAGTACATACAAATTTCCCAACCCTGCCTATAAGCTTGCTAGATAATTATTACATAGAAATTCTCAAACTAATAGTTATATTATCTTATAATCTAGAATCTTTAAGATCACTTCATTGATCTTCTTGAACTTCTCAAAAAATACTTTATTAAAATAGATTAGAAGATCTAACCCAGAATAGGTAGATTATATATAGCGCTTTTAGCCAATTTCACCAGGTGATCATATATATAAATTATATAACTTTTATTTCACAAAAAAAATAAAGTATAAATTATGCATCATACCTTTGGCTAAATATAGTTAAAATAATATTAGTTAAAAAATATTAAGTTTATCTTCTTGTATTTTTCACACAAAAGCCCAGTATTTATCAATATCAATGAAGCTAAATGTACTTTCACTATATTTTATAGGTATTTCTCAAGATTATCTATTAATATAACAGGTTTTCATGGTAATAGAAAAGGAGTTGATCTATTTAATGCTCAGA